AAATCTGCTTCTGATTTAGTCCACATGTGCCAAGACAAAGGAACAAGGGTGTTTATTGCAGCACTGTATGGGCAGCAACACCCCAAAACCAGAAAGAACTCCATGTCCACCAACAGGGGACCAGAGGAGTTACCAAGAGCACCTTCAGGCATTGGAGTATTATTCAGCTTTAAAAAAGAACAAAGCAAGCCAACACATTCTGAAACAGGAAAGTATCAAACCTGCTTTTTACTTATGTGTGGAATTCTTTATATTATATTGTTGCAGTTGTTGTTAAAAAATATGTCTACATACACTGAGTCATGTGCTTATGCCCCAACTACTCACTGAGCACTCACTTTGAGTGGAGCTGGACCAGTTAGGATCAGGGGAACAGGAGAGAAGACAACTGGGTTTCTGCCTTCTTGGAGCAGAAAGTCAAAGAGGAAAATAGGGAGTAAAATAGGCAATGATAATAGCCTGACAAAGGCCACCATTAGTCATAATAATAACAACCAACACATGCTCAGCACAGACCCCCTGCCAAGCCCTTCTCATTTACTCCCCACAGCAGCAACCTTCAGAGATTGGTCTCATTATTATTCCTTTCACGAAGGAGCAAACAAGCTCAGAATGGTTAGGTCACTTGCCCAAAGGCACACAGCTGATAAGCAGCAGGGCCAGGATTCAACTCCATCCCTCTGGCTCCAGAGTGGACAAGAAAATAACTGCGATAATGAGCAGAGTGTGATAGGGATTGGGAAAGAAAGAGAGAGAATGTATGGACAGGATCTGGAGAAACTGCTCAGTCTCTGAAACGCAGAATCAGAACCTGTAGTAGCAGAACCACTTTCCACTTCATGGACTTCCATCCTGCCACCTTGAAGCGTTTGGTGTGTTACACGTTACTTTCATGCTTCCACTGCATTTTAATGTGTGTTTAGCATTTCAGTGATGTCAACAGCCAATGATCAGGCTTTGGAAACATATTTCCTATTCTATTGGAAACAAGGCTGTAAAATATCTCAAAGGTCTCTGAACTGAGCAATTAACAGATGTGACAGCAATAACTCCTGCTCAAAGTCAAGTCCATGATTACTGCAGACTTATCTCTTCCTTCCACACCAGAGGCTACCTGAGGACAGGGGGCCTTCTGACTCTTTCACAAGCCTGGGGCTTTCCCCACATGATGCTCAGTAAGGTATTCATCACATTGAAGGGGAAAAATATGCAAATGTGTGTCCATCCCTCAATTCAACATGGCAGGAGGTGAATGATAGGAGTGAACACTCTACGTGTTAGGGGCCACAGAGCTGGGAAGTGAGTGGCTTTGAAGCAGGTGGGTCTGGGTTCAAATCCCACCTCTGCAAACCTCTCAGCTGCATAACCTTTCAAAGCTCCAGTTTCATTAATTCCAACTGGAGAGTCCCCAAAGCAGGCACTTCCTGCGCTTGGTGTGAATAGACAAGGAATGAAGGAAAGTAGCCCAGATTCCAGCACAAAATGATTGCTCTGGGGTGCTACAAGCCTTGCCTATATTCAATCCCATCCTTCCATGTGACAGGAAGAAACTGAGGTTCTAAGAGGCAACTGGCTTGTCTGGATTCACACTCCTGGGGTAGCGTGTTAGCTCCTAGATAGGTATTCCCTGTCCTCCTCTGTGTCCCCAGTCTGTCAAAGCCTTCATGTTTGTATACTCAGGGAACTTCTCAGCAGGAAGTGCAAAGAATTTATGTTGTTAATGGTCCTTTAGTCATTCAACACACCCTATGTTCTGGCCATAGTGCACAATTCCCCAGGGAGCTGTGCTTTCTCCTGGGTACTTGCTCCTTCTTTAATGCCCCTGCCCCCACCTCCGACTCAGCTCAAATGTCACCTTTGGTCCCTCCTCACACACATCCCAGGTTGGGCAAAGCTCCGCCTGCCTGGATTGCATCCAGATGACAAGCTATACTGACAATGATCACACTCTCCACTTCCTGAGCACAGATCCTGTGCCTGAACTGCCGGTTCACCTAACCCACACACAAGCCCATTTTACAGATGAGGAAGCTAAGTCTCCACACAAGTACATGGCCAAGGCCACCATCAGGAAGGCTGGCCCTTAGTTGGCCCTGGTTGCCTCCTCCTGGAAGCCCCCTCAGTTTACCCCTGCTGTCCCCGACTCAACTTTACCACCCTGTTACTTCTCTCTTCCTGGACCTCACTAACTCCAAATATCTGCAAAGTGCAAGTTAGGAGCAAGTTCAAACCTGCTGTGCCATGGATGGGGGCAAATACCTTGGCACACACTGAGTCCTGCATCTGTGAGAGGGACCAGTGAACCTCGCACTTTCCCACAGCAATGTTTCTTAGCCAACCCTGGGCTGGCAGACAGCGGTGCTCAGGGGGTTGCTGAACCAAATCAAGTAGTGATACAATATCAAGACCACCACTTTCATGGCTGTCCTTCCCCAGAGAGGAAGGAAGGGGTCTTCCACTCGAGGGAGTCCTCTGACTCCAACACTGACCAGTGTCCAAGTTCTAGGGGCACCATTCAGCACCACTGCCCTGCCTGGGTCCAGGTCTGTCCACCTGGATTTTCCCAGCCTCCTCCTGGCCAGCCCCTCCCTGCCAGCCTCCCCACATCAGCCAGGGCAGCTTCCACAACTGCCCTGGAAGAAATTCCAAACCACTAAGTCTGGTTGGACTGGCCCTGGCCAGCACCCTATACTCCAGGCCCACCTCTAAGTCTCTGTTCCAACCTTGGGGCCCATGACAACAACCTCTTCCCATGGCAAGTGGTCCAATAAATTCAACTCTTTGATCTCCACTCCCATCTCCACATACCCTAAGGCATCAGCCCCTCCTCCCTCAACACCATCCTGCCCTCATAGACAAATAACCATTTTCACAAAGGCTTCACCCCTAAAGGATGGGTGCAGCCTCATCTTTGACTCAGTTTCTTGAATTATTTGTCCATGAATGAATGAATGAATAAATACACATACAAAATATTGCCCCAGGCCCCTGAGTTGGTCACAGAAATCTGCTGGTGATGCTAAGATAGGGCAGATGCTCAGGGGAAGACAGCTAGTTCTGTGGGTCTCTGCCAAGGTCAGCTTGAATAAGACCAGCCCTCGGGTCCTCCAAGGGGGGTATGAGGCCCAGCTGAGATCTGGGGTGAAGGCTACACGAGCGGGCACTAGATAGCAGGGCAAGCTGATTTCCAAAGCCAAAATAGCAATTGCAGGAGGAGGATCCTAAACTGCCCTGGGGCCACACTATGCCTACAATGTCTTCCACGTATTAGATGCTCAGCACACACGGGTGAGCCAGCCAGTTTGAGTGCCAGGTTGAAACCTGCACCCAGACACTGGGAGCTGAAACTGTGCGCTTCTCCTGGGTAATTGCACCCTTGTCAAGCACACAAATCCTTTAAAAAGGATTCCTCACCACCACTACCACACCGTCAAGTCCTGGGCTTCTGACTGCACAATTCCCTCAGCAACTGTCTCTTGTGTTCAGGGGAAGGTGTGAGGTGCCAGTGTCTGGAGGAGGACACATGTATGTCCAGAAGCCTTGATGGATCAGCAAAGAGAAAAGCTGGAGGAGGAAGAAGCCTTGTCCAAATGTCCTAGTTACTGATGAGCCAAACCCCAGTGCTTCTCTCTATGCTAGGGGGGAATGGAAGGGGCAACTGACCCATTTGGAAGAAAGACCAAGTAATACAAGTCTGTAATCCTGCAGTCAGGAAGACAGCAAGCTGGGTGTCTGGAGCTTTGCTTTAGATGCCTTAGAGAAAGCTGGGGGATGGGACAAGGGAAATGACTGGCTGGGAAAAAAAAAGAAAATGCATAGCACTGATATTTATAAAGCCCCTGCCTGTTTCACACTTACGGTGCCCATTCACCCTGCCAGGGCTCCAGAAGCGGGAGGAGTGTGACATCTCCCCCACCCCATTTTGTCCAGAGGGTGAACTAGAGCTCAGGTTAAGTATTTTGCCCAAGGTCACAAAGAAGCAGCTTTTTCGTTGTGCAACAGGTATAGCCCTTCCCGTTCCAAAAGGTAATGGCTGCTCTTGGCCAGCGAAAGTTCAAGGCCAGTCCGCAGGAAGCCCCAGGCACCTAGGTGGTGCGCGGAGGTCACAAGCGCCCCGCTCCGGGACAGGGACAGGGTTAACAGGGCGAAGGTGTTTGGGGAAGGTGTAGAAAGGTCAGGCTCCGATGGAGGTCAACGTGTCTTTCTCTTCCACGAGCCCCACCCGCAGCTCTGGCGGCGCTGCCACCCGGGCGGGAACCACACTGGCCTGGGGGACTGATCCTTAATCCCATCTGGGTGTCTCCGCTGATGCACGGAGAGAAGCCCAGGCCCGGTGGGGAGGGCGCCCCCGGAGCCCGGCGCGCTGCCCTTCTCGCGCACCCTGCGGTCCCCAAGAGGCCCCCTCGCCCCGGGCTCCTCTCGTCCCCACTGTCCTCAACCAGGGCCTCCAACCTGCACGGACGTCCTAATCCTAGCAACTCCAGGCTGGGTACTCCGGAACTCCAGCGATCCCTAAGCCGCTGGCCACCAGATCGCCTCTCGGAATCCACTCCCAAGGCTCGGACCGGCGTAGAGAGGGATCCACTCTCTCTCTCTCGGTTCTGATTCACCCTCCGCCGTCACTCCCGGGCTGAGGAATCCAGAGGACCTCAGGCCGCCGGCACCCGATCCCCTCCTGGGATCAACTCCCAAGTCGCCAGCCGGGCGGCGAGGGATCCATTGGTCGCCCTGTGCGGAATCTTTCCCGCAGGATCCACTCTCAAGTCTCAGGAGACGGGTCTTTCCGCTCCCAAACCAGGAACCCCGTCCCCGCGGATCCAGAGCCCAGGGGATCCACTGCTTCCCCGCCTCTTCCTTGGCCAACTTTGCCAACTTTTCTACCCGGGCCTCGGACAGACAGGAACTTGGCAGCCCTTGCCCGCAGCCACTTCCCAGCCCGCTAGCAGGTCGAGACCCGGGGCGACCGGCTGGCCCCCACCCCCGGGCGCCGCGCAACCTACCCTGGCACCGCAGCCGGCCCGCGCCGCTCCACCACCTGCCCGCAGCAGCCGCACCTGCCCCACCGCGGCCCGCGCAGCCTAGCCTGCTGGAGGCGGGGCCTCGGGTGGGAAGCGCCCCGTCGCCATAGGAACCGCGGTGGGCGGCGCGTGCGCGGAAGCCCCGGGGCGGAGCGCGGCCGCGGGACCTTGTCCGCCTGCCCGCTGGCGCTTGGCCGGGGGACCACCGTTGGGTTAGAGGTCACGAGTTCGCCCCGGGCATCCGGTCCGCCCTCGACCCGGCCCTGCGCGTCCGGCCGGGGACGTAGCTCACAGCCCCTCCCGCGTCCCCGGGCCCATCCCCAAGACCCTGGCCTGGGTGCCCCGCAATGGGCACCGACTCGCTGCCGGGTCCGCGGCCCCGCAGGGCCTCGAGTAGCCCGGAAATCCAGCAGACGCTCGCCGAGGGCCGGTCCAGGGAATCGTTAGGAGCGCCAGAGCCGGCCAAGTCTCCTGCGCCCCTCGCGGCGAGCTGGGCGGCTGCACTCGGCTCTTCTCTGCGTGCGCTTGCTGTGCAGGAAGCCAGTTGCCTTTGTGTTGGTGTGGGAGCGCGGGGGCCGAGTCTGGAGACTGGACAACTTGAGAGAATCATAGGAAGTCACCTTTGGAAGAGGAAATTCCTGTTCAGCTGTTCTTATTCATAAATATATATATATATGTGTATATATAT